GTGGAAAGGGCCTGGAGTTGAGCCAGCACCACATTCTTGGCATTCTCCTGGTCAAGCAAAGTTCAAAGGCCAATTCTGTTTTAGGAGGAAGGAAACAGAGCACACTTACACAGGGCTGTGAACCTTAGATGGGGTTGGAACCAGGACCGTTCAGGTGAAAGATGGTGTGGGCTCAGTTGGTGGAGTCTAAGGAGACCAGGTTATAATTTGACTAGATTTTGAAAGTAGAAGCCATAGTCTGTCTGCTTGCATGGCCACAGAAAAGCAACATAGGCTAGTGGTTTTAAAACCTGTTTATTGACACCTGGAGTGGTGGTGCAGACCTTTAATCCCAGCCCTTGGGAGGCAGAGGCCAGGTTGGTCTACAGAGTGAGTTGCAGGACAGCCAGGGTTACAAAGAGAAACCTTGTCTTGAAAAAAATTTTAAGTCATCAATGGTTCTGGAGGTTGTTAACACGGTTGTGATCTGATGGATTCTCTCTTGTTGCAGACGGACACCTTCTGAGCCATGTTTTCACATGGCCTGTTTTTTGGTGTGCATGTATTTTAATTAATTAATCAATTTTAGGCAGTGTCTCACTGTGGGTCCCTGTGTAGCCTGGGATTTGCTGTGTAGACCAGGTTGGCTGCAAACTCACAGCCCCTGCCTCCCCCAATACTGGTATTAAAGGCGTGTGTCACCATGCCCGGGTTATTTTTATAACATTCATTTCTTATCTATTTGTGTGTGCACGTGCACTTGTGCAGGTCAAAGGAAACTTTTTGGAGGCACTTCTGTTTTTCTACCCTGTGGGTCCTGGGAATTGAAGTCAGCTCATCAGGCTTAATGGCAAGTGTCTTTATTCTCTAAGCCACCTTGCTGGCTCTTTCTCTTTCCACAGGGCCACCAATCATACTGGATTCAGATCCCAAGCTCAGGACCTCACTTATATCTCACAAATGTCCTTGATCCAAATGTGCTCACACTGCGGCTTGGAGCTGCAGCATGGCCTGGAGCAGCAGCATGATTCTGTATGGAACATCTAAGGTATGTAAAGTTCAGTAAGAGGAGGAGGAGGAGGAGGAGGAGGAGGAGGAGGAGGAGGAGGAGGAGGAGGAGGAGGAGAAGAAGAAGAAGAAGAAGAAGAAGAAGAAGAAGAAGAAGAAGAAGAAGAAGAAGAAGAAG